TGAGCGTGTGTGTCACCTGACTCACAAAGAGGCGTGCCTTGTTGTGACCACTCATTCATTCGCGCTGACAACACCGACACAGGATTGCGTCATCAGAATGTGAAACTGTCTCGCCACAGTTTGGTACGCGTGTACCAATACTTGCAGTTCGACATTTTAAATCAAAGGGTAGCACTCGAACTTTCTGAATATGGAATTTTGGAATATTGTCGTGGATGCAGCCATGGCCAGTTTAATATCTGGCTTTGGTCAAACCAATGTTAATGGTTTCTGTTTGGGGCAGGTGGGATACTTGGTAATAATGCAAGACTGTAATTACCATAATTTGGATTGCGAGAAGTGACGTCGCTCTTGTGTAATGTTGGCTTGTGTCACGTAAGCTTTCATCCGTTCGGCGCCGCAGCGTCACGGGCGCTGTCCGAGTAGCGCTGGGCCTCGCCCGCACCCCGACTCCCACACGTGTCAGCTGCCCCGAGTTGGTCATTGATGACCAACGTGCACGTAGACGTACCAGAGCTACTACAGCTCTCAATAGCTAACCAGGGTAGGCTTGGAAAGCCAGACTACGACACTCAAAATGCTTAAGTCTCGTGGTTAACGCGTTACATCCGGCGGTCAAGTGAGCGGCTTGCAATCGGATGGTCGAGAGTTCAAATCCCGGTTGTAGAGGTTCACTCAGCTCCAGCATCCCTATGGGGCTGATAAAATGATGACCACACTTTGGGGAAGTCCTATGGAGAGACTTGCCCCCGCCAGTGGAATGTTGAATTTCCACCACTGGCTAAGGGGCTGTGAACAGGAGGAAATGAGCATCGGCTCAGTGGTTGCTGAGCAGGGAACCACTTGGACTGTTTCTTTTGACACTGGGTCTTATCAAGGCACACTTAGATTCTTCGGGTTCCCTGGCATTGCGCGAGGCGCTGGAACTTTGCGGTGCGTTTGGCCCCATTCGCTGGGACCACGCAGAATGGACACCAAAGCAACTGGCAAGTTCATTCGGAGCGAGGGTTTCCCAGAGCTGCGTGTGGAAGCGTGTCGCCACAACTCAAATATCTCACGTTCGTAGAAAAGGAAGAGGATAAAAATCGATCCGAGTGGAAAAAAAACCTGTTGATACATTCTTGCCACACGTGTTACGTGATCTCAAAGGGTATTAAGCGTTCTCATAAAAAGCGTTATTTTATTTTGACCTCTATCCAATATCAATATCCCATTTATACGAGACTGTAAGAGATTGCTGTTGACTGTTGTTTCCAGATCAAAAAACATTTTCTAGTTCCAGCTGTTGACGGACACCCCACTTGAATCGTGACCTTCGAACCTGGCCCTGGCGCTGTGCACTCTTAGAGCACGTCAGCAGCTGCCTGCTGCCTTCTAGCGGAAGGGACGGAGTCCCCGTTTCAAACGCACGCCGATACCGGCTGTTCACCTCGTTACGTTGACCCATCTTTCCAGCTGCCCAAATAACTCCTGCGCATACCCTTTTATTGGACATGTAATGATTCACCCCCCATTCGTTCCATGAATGGTCATGATTCCGTGGCACAATTCAGGTCGCGAATCTATTTGTCTTTTGTCCAGTTTGTCCGGTTTCTCTTGGTCTGTTTTGTCTCGTACCATTTTGTCTGGGCCGTCTCCCTTGTGTAGTCTTATTTGTACTGGCCAAATTTGTCCTTAATACCCTCCACCACCCAGCACGACCAAACAAATACAATTGTCCACGTGGGCAAGTGTTGTATTGTGCCACTTACTGTTGTTTTAAGATTGGCTGAGAGAATCAAATTTAGAAATTTTTATTTGCAATGTTTCACCTGAAACTGCATCGACCATCACCAGGACTAGATCAATAAAGTCAGAATAACAATCCAGGCGTCCATGTAGGGCAGAACCGAGCAAGACAATACAGACGGTGCAAAAATAAACAGTAAAGCCAGGACAAAGGAAAATCAAATCCAAGTCAGAATTATTTCCTGGATATTGATGTTTGTCGCGTGGAAACGCGTGTACACCACGTGGAAGTGTAAATTGTTTGATTGGTTGTGTCGGGTGGTTGAGGGTTTCACAATATAAATTTAGCCATATCACTGATAAGTTAAACAGTTTTGAACAAATAAAAAAGCTTCCACGTAGCTCCTTTCAGCGAATTATTTTCGGCAAAGATTTCGACAGATCTAAGCCAGCCAATGTCATCGGTGTTGGCCACAGGTGTTGCCCCTTTTCAACACTGCGCTGTGTACACAGTCAACAAGCAGTGAATGGCACTCGAGAGATAAGGCCACATACAAAACATTGTGCTTCTCGGGCAAAGCGTTCCAAGATTGAAGCAAAAAATAAATATTTGTCTTTGTATATATTATTTACCTGCACAATACAAGTGCATAGCAGGTGGCTATAGATGGGGGAGTATGAGTAAGAGGTGGAATCAAGAGGTGCGTCTCAGAGGGAGGGATGTTTACCAGAGGGTAGTGACAAAGGGTGGTACAAAGGATTGGTGATCTCATTTGTAACATATTTGGCCAGGTTATGTTCATGCTTGGGACGTGATCCGTGACACGTTCCGTAGCTATGTCAGTGACTGGGGATCACACTAAAGAGGAAGTCGTGTCCCTTGCCATTTGAAGAATTCTCACAATTTGCGGTCGCGATTCGATTCGCCGATCAGTTTTTAACAATGTTGTGCATTGTAGATTCAGCTACGTACATAAGCTACATAGATATACATGGGTTAGGCAATTCTCATATGCAACAAATGGTGTGTCACAAGTGTAAACATTCATAGTAATTAATTAATCGCTGCACTGCTATTCGAGTGTTAATGGAGTGATGGCGAGTGCTTTTACTTACATAACCTTTTGAGTGCCGAATCACTCGCTCGGGCACGCTGGACAACAAGTAGCTTTGTGGGACCGTGGGGCAGTTTGTCTGCTTACAGCCATCGAAACAACGATTGTAAAAATCTTAGATTAATGTGTATAGATGCAACTGCATCTCCGCATACTCTACAAAGTATGGAGATGCATGCATTGAGAGGACTTTGGGGGAGAACGGAGAGCTTTATCGCGGGAGTGAAAGGGTTGGAGGCTACAGGGCAGCGAAGGAAAACCCACTTTGTGGGAGAAGTGACGGAAGGTCTTGAGTCTGGAACAAGAGGAGGACGCCAGCCGTGTGAACTACTGGCCGAGTGAATTCTAGACGACGAAAGGAGCGACCTACCACTGAGCCGAGATTGCCTTGGGGCTCGGCAAAAGGTGTTGGCTGCTGGAGCGGAGAGCGCACGGCGGGGCGTAGGAGGAGGATTCGGTGTGGGCGAGTCCCTGCTGCAGGGTCGTGGAGACGGTGCGCGGGCGGGCTCCTGCTGGTGGTGACCCAGCTCTGGCATGAGAACCGGTGGAGCGATGGAGCGTCTGGGTCATTATAGGTTCGGTGAGCATTCCGAGCAGGGGAGCGCTCCGTCTGCCCTCAATAGGCTACTTGTCGAACCTGATCCGACTGCTGATAAAATATTGAATCTCGAAACCGATGTTGAACCTTTCACACCTCCGATTATCACGGTTGGCTACGTACGGTGCGAAAGAAGTTCAGGAATTAAACACTCCCAGAAGGCCGTGTGGCTGATGGGATGCGTAAAAAAAATACTTTTATTTTGTATGTGGTGCGATGGATATGTGAGGCGTGTAATGTCTGTTTATTTGTTTTGTTACCGTTCAGTGTGCTTGCAAAAATAGCTTGGGCACACTTGTGTTTGTCTCATTGAACCTATATGGAATATTTAAGTACATATGTGAGGCATTGGCTCTCCTGCCTCTGGACAAGCCGCCACCAATGCCACGTAGCCGTTGAGATCATGCGTGCGTGGGTTATTGACATGCAGCTTGGGAACTTTCTGTTTCTCCGTTTGATTACCCCCCCACACCCTCATGTACATGCATCATCGCTCGGAACATTATGAATGTATGACTGTGTTTCTATATTTTTAATGACTCATGCCCTTAACATGCCTAAAATAAAATGCATTTACTTTTGTTGCCATTTAGATGTCATGCAAAGAATAACCCGAACAACAGGAAAACCCAGATTTGTGTATCTCAGGTGATGCTGACCTTATTGGTCACTTCCTGAAGACATTCCTCATCGTGGCTGTAGCAATGCCGTCTTTTCCAGATGTTGATCAACCAGTTTTGTCGCTCAAGTGTTCCAGCATGGCATATATCATACTTAATATCATACTTAACACAACAATTATAAAAAGTTTGGCTGGCTGGTGCACGGGTGGGCAAGTGCGGAGTGGTGACGTCACCACGCAAATGTGAGCGGTGACGTCACCACGAAAATGTGAGCATTGACGCTGCGTGACGTCACCCCCTCCCCCCACCCTCCACCCAGACCATGGATTCCACGCAAATGCGTGGGCAATGCGATTATTTTTTAAAAATAAATGTTCGAGATGAGCTTCACGTGCGATGGAGATGTGCAGCCACATTGAAGATCGAGGTGGCTCCTAAACTGGGGTTAAACAGTGCAATTTCCCTGCACGCACACCTCTGTTGTACTTTTCAAATGCTGGACAACATCGCGTATTGAATACTGCGAGTTAGTTGCTTCTGACTTGCAACACAGCCACATCAATGAGGCCCATGTGTGGGTATGATTGAGGCCTGGTGGAATGACCCCAGCCTTCCTCTGTCACCTGGGCAGCCCAGCCTAGGTGGCCTGGCAGTGAATGTGAACAAGCAAGGTCTAAAAAAAAAATGAATGATCTCCGTATACCATCCTGCCCTGCTGTTGCATATATGAGAAGTTGTCCTTAATATGAACCGTATCAATGTAACACCTCAACCCCAGATAGCGGAGGTATTTGCATAGGCTGCGTGTGTGGAAGATGCTCTCGTGCGAGCGTTGGGAGTGTGTGGAGAACGGTCCGGTAACGAGGAGGAGGAGGGGGGGAGGCCTATGAGACAGCATGGAGTGTAACCCTGGGAGGTGGCGTTGGTGTGTCACAGGAGAGCACAACTGCGCGTCTGCCTGGAGCGTCTGAAGAACATGGTCCCTCTGGGGCCCGAGTGCTCGCGCCATACCACCCTGGGATTGCTCACCAAAGCGAAGAACCACATCAAGGTAGGAAGGAAGACCTGGTCAACTTCTTCAGGTGGCTTTGTGAGCTAGGTTGTCATCATAAATCAGTATGCCAGGGCTTCCAGCCTAATTCGATCACTGTAACGAGCATTTTGACACTGTGCAGTCGCATTGTCTGTCGGTACAGTGGAGTAATTTGCCGATGGTTTTTGTTCTCACCGCAGTTGCTGGTCACAGGCTAAAAAGCTCGAAACGTCAAATGGCCAGCAACAATTAACGCTTTCAAAGTTGCAATGTTTAAGCATAGACGCATGTCTTAAATTGAGCAAGGTGGTTATAAGTGCTTGGGGAAAAGAGACGATGGGAAGGGAGTCCATGGTTGAGCAATGCAAGGGAAGAAGCGGAGAGAGAAGTGATTGGACTTGCAGTGTCGGGAGTGAGTTGAAGAGTTCATTGTTTTGACACGAAGCATGGTGGTTGAACACAAGTGTGGATGATGACACAAAACAGTCGGTTTAGTCGACCCGAGTCTTCAACGCAGGTGGAGGAATCCGTGAGGTTCGAGGGAATGGTAACCGTGGCGGTAGCTATGTGGCAGTGGGATTGATGTGGCTTCGCGCGCGCGTCGCATGCAGCGGCTGGAGGAGCAAGAGAGGAGGGCGCAGCAGCAGAAGGACAAGCTGGAGCGCGAGCACCGTTACCTGCGCCGGCGTCTGGAGCAGCTGGAGGGCAGCCCCACCGGGGTGGCGGAGCGCTTGCGCACTGATAGCCTGGGCTCCGCGCTGAGCTCCGAGCACTCCGACTCCGACAGGGGTACGACGTGGGGCTCGGCGGACCGACGAACTGTGCAGCCAATCGCTGTGAAGTTTATTTACATTGGAATTCACGCTGTGGATGGGCAGCTGATCACAGGACCAAAGGCCCAAAACGTCAAGTGGCCAGCAACAAGCGGCGCTGTCAAAGTTTTAAACGATAAGAGAGTGCACAATCCTCCAATTGTGAACAAGGTTATCATGGGTACTACCAAAGTCGAGCAGTGCAAGGGGATACGCAGAAAGAGAAGCGTTACGGTACTTGGCTAAATTCTGTTCAGGCTGTTTCCCCAACGTGTACACGCTCTGTATCGAGCGAGGGCTTAACGGCTTCCCCTCCGGCGTGGCGGCCGCATTCCTTTTCATCCCTGCAGAGGACATGGAGGTGGACGTGGAGAGCGTGGAGTTCTCGGTGGGCGAGGGAGACAGCCTCGGCACGAGCAGCGACAGCGACGAGCGCAGCAGCCTGCAGAGCAGCAGCACCAGCGACGGAGGGTACTCCAGCTCGAGTCTCAAGCACGTCGGGACCTTCGTCTGCTAGCCGCTCCACGCTCACAAGCACAGCGGGGGGCACGGTCTGCGGTCGTGTTCCTCCAAGTGGGAGATGACAAGTATTGGGAAGACGCTCTTACAGTGCTTTTCAGACTTTGTATGTATTTTTCTGACAATTTATACTGTACATGAAATTGTATTTTGTGAAGCACTGCAAGAGTAACTTAAGCTCTGAAGACCTTTAAAAGAGCAGTTTGTAAATAAATGTATAAACGCCTTGCCGCTGTTTTACGCACCTAAAGATCGGTTCAGACAGCACTTTTATGCCGATTTGCGGAGATATTAACATTAATGGCAATAAACTTCCCTGATGCTGCCCATTTCAATAGGGTCTTCAGAGTTAGGTTGACCCCATCGATGCATTACGACCAATATGTTGCACTTAAAGGTCAAAGATATTTCTTTGACATTATTGACCTCAAATGTAAAAAGAAAAAAAAATCGTACAATATTTTTTCCTAAATATGGACTTATATATATCTGTATAGCAACAGACATTGGAAGTCCTTGGTTCCACAGTTGGACACTATTTTGGAGTCTCAGGGACTCGTGTGGCTGTTTTGAGTGTTGTGCCTTTGTTTTGGTTTGGCGTTGGAGTATCTCCTGGATGTTGTGCAGTGCAGTAACCCTGCAAGGCAGACACCGAAGGAGTTATTAAAAATGGTGATGTTTTTAATCTGTGGTTCCTCTGAAGGTTATAATGCCTGGAAGAAAAAAAACATATCAACAAAGTGGGCTAGCTGGCTGGCTGTGTCACGCAGTAGCACAGAGCCATTGCCAACCGGCAGCTACCCAGGCCGCATCACCTCCGGGCGAGAGGAATCTGACCAACTCCTGATTCGGAACCGCAATGGCAGCTCCTGTCACAAGTGTTGCAGTTTTGTAAAGTAAAAGCAACAAGCTTTGACATCTTTAAAAACATCTTACCAATTATCCTATAAACCACTGTTCTTGTCAGTTACTTGATTGGCACTTAATGAAGTTGTAGATTCATTGTATTTTAGTTACAAATAGTTATAGTTACAAGTAACTATCACAAGTGATTTTTACAGAAAGGCACAGTTTTTAAATATTTATGACCAAATCTGTCCCCGTTAGAAAATCTGGTTTTTCATGGTGCTTTTTTATAATCGATGATTGGTGGGTTGGTTCACTTGGATGTTGATTGAATTCCATATACTCGTTATTTTGCATCGTGAGCGTAGACGTAATGGACCAGATTGTCTAAAATGAGATTATTCCGATTCCCACCAGCATCTAGTTTTACCGCACATTCCACAAAACAACATTGTAAGGTAAGGCCACCCGCTCTGCGGGTTATGACATCAGTGTTGTGTATATTATTCATCCCGAAACAACGGCCACTTGCTGCAGTAGCTCTTGTCTTGCTTATTTTTTTGCATGCATCGACGCGATGGTAATTATGATGTTCTTCCCGTGCTTGCCAATATCACTCCGCGCGTGCGTACGTCGGTAGCGGCGTGTTTACGTCGGTAGCGGCGTGCTTACGTCGGTAGCGGCGTGCGTCCCGCGCGTGGCTGCCGACCCAGGCTTTGTGTAAACCTGAAGCGGCGCCCTCCCGCCCGCCCACTTACGGATGAGCCACGCCGCCTGCGGGCCCCGGGAGGGCAGCGTGGGCGCTTGCGGGGGTGGAAGGTCCCGGCTCCGACCAGTGAACGTTTCCAGCTGGTGATGGAACTCGACCCGACTGGTGGTAGTGCACTGTTTTGAACGCTAGCTGTGTAAATCGTGTATGTCTATGTTACCTCATGTGTTATTGTTCCCCGTTATACATAAACAAATAAATTTATTTCACTAATGTATCGCTGAGGGTATTTATTTATACGCGAGTTGGTGAGCCGTGCTGTCGCAGCCTGGCCCGGGCTTTGCTGTCGCAGCAGCCTGTGTGGGGGACGTTGCATCAAGACTGAATAAAAGGTATTTAGTGTTCTACTGCAAATTGCAAAAAAAATATTGTTACAATTTACACTGCCAAAGACCTCAAGTTAAATGCTGATATACGTTTCCATGACAGTTTAGAAATTAGTTCCACGTAAAAATATGTTGTTAAACTCGACACTTGTCAATACTGGCCTTAAAAAAGAAAATAAGTAATTGGCGACGTTTTGGGCAATAGCCGTTAATAGCACACAGTTTTGTGTGGCATCAAATAATGTTTCTCACAAGTCCCGTGTAACAGTGAACACGAGGGCTGTTAAACGATAAACGGTAGAGCGTTTTCAAAATCGATTGCTGGTTCTCAAAGTCACGAGCCGGTAACGAATTGCAGTGGCACTTGAGTAACGGGAGGCACCGATTGGCACGCTCGGGCGATTAAACCGGGGTACAATGTGTGGATGGATACAAGGTATGGTCCATGACTTCGTTTCTCAGTCCACTTGTCCTGGTGAGGGTCGTGGCCCCATGACTTTGTCAAATTTTAAATATCCCTTGGACCACTGCTGTGTGCTTGGCCCTGCCACTGCTGTTTCCACAGTTGTCATGACCATGAACCCCACGGTACTTAAGACTTGGCAATGTCCACAGCAAAGATGAGCTGGAGTTTTCTTGATTTCGCTTTGTTGCTACTACGACGTTACTGGAGGTCATTGTGCTAGTTGACAAGTCCCTGTTCGGCGACACTACCTTTAAAATATCGTAGCACATGTGGTCATATCAAATATTACCTGCAGTGATGTCTAATAATTCTTTGGTTCTTTCAGTAAAGTCACGTAGAAATAGAAAATAATGTAATTTATTATTTTCTATTTCTACGTGACTTTACCGAAAGAACCAAGGAATAATTCCTGCAGTCACGAATGCGCCAAATCAAGTTTATTTCTAATAATGTTGGACGAAGTTAAAGACGGTTGCTAGATCTGCATTTCAAGCGCTCACGAATGAGCTCTCTGGCCCGCACGCATTGCCGAGTGATCGGTTTGGAGGGCGAGCAAACCTGGCGAGGCCTCGAGTTGGTGAGGCCATGAGTGGGCTGTCGAGGAGGTGAGCGAGAGGGGGGAGTTGAAGCCAGGATGGGTGAGTGAGGGGGCTGGCATGCGGTGGGGTGTGAGGGTGGCTGGGTTGTGGACAGTGCGGCGAAAAGATAGTCACGAGGAAGAACGTGTGGATAAATCACGTGGCGCCAATTATAACCGGTTTTTCAGTTTCTGTGTCAAGGTAAAAAATAAACCCACGGTTTGTCCACCGAAAGGAAGACGGGGCTGCTGTGCAGGCACCAAGGGGTGGTTTAAGTCGCTACAGAACAGGACTTTAATCGCGCGCCCATTGTCTCCGTGCGTGGCACGGGCGTTGACGCAGCTCCTATCCCCATCGGCGGTCCGATGGAGAAGTGCCACGATAGCACATGGTGACGTGTGCGCTCCGCGGGGAAACCCCCTGGTGACTTCCCTCTAAGTGGTATTCATTTTATCGACCCTGCATGTGCGATGAGTCGATGTCTGCTCAGAACTTGACCTCGCAACATTCCAACGTGAGCACCCAATGGGCCACCCTCAGTGCGAGAAGGGTGCCACTCGGCTCAACTGTTGACTCTGAACGTTCAGAGTCGTGCATATTCCACATTCCCTCGGCATGGGCAAGTCCCTCCATACGACAACGATTGACTTCCTACAGAGCGGCACCACCTTCACCCTAGAGAAATCACTGGATGAGTTAACCCCCAACCAGAATTTTAGAACACACGCACGTTCTTCCAATTGTCTGTCTACTGCCACTTCACACAAACTGCGAGTATGCACTGAACCGGCACACAGCCTGGGTTCGAATCCCAGCCCACCATACCCGAACAAACCGCCTGCTCGGGCGTAGCGAGTTGGTCTCAGCCAGATAACGATTGTCTGAATGCAAAAAATAGCAGACGATTCAGCACATTTCAGCTCTGAGGAATAAAATGCGCCTGGTCTGTTGCCAGCTCACCAGACGTTGACGACCCTCAGGTCATTCTGCGTGACCCTGCTGAGATAAATTATCTACTGTACCCGTGTCTGGTTGTACAGTATATATATTCAAACGGGTGAAACCGAAGAGACAAAAACGAAGTGAAATGTTTGGCCGGGTAACAAGATCAACATTGCCCTTTTCATACCGTGCCGTGCGGTAAATGGCTATTGGAGGCAGTAAATTTAACTCCCTCCGTATACCCCCAGACGACGCCAGCCTCGGTTCCCTTTCCGTGTACTTAAGGCGCTATTTAAGTGTTTACGAGGGATCGAGGAGGTCGCTAGGATCCTTTGCAGCTCACCGAGAACATCGAACTCTCATTTTAGTTTGTGCCTCGGTGCCCGAGTGCCAAACCACAACAATGCATCGCAGTGGAGTCGCTACCTGCCCGCCTGTGATCCCCTCTCGGTGTGATCGGGACATTCCTCGACTTGGCTTCTCTGCGTTATCGTGCGCCAAGAATCCATTTGTGCCGACGTCTACTGCGGGCACTCACTGCGTCGATCTTCATCCCCAGCAGGAGACTCCCTGCACAACATCCCCAGCAGGAGACTCCCTGCACACCATCCCCAGCAGGAGACTCCCTGCACACCCAACAGGAGACTCCCTGCACAGCATCCCCAGCAGGAGACTCCCTGCACAGCATCCCCAGCAGGAGACTCCCTGCACACCATCCCCAGCAGGAGACTCCCTGCACAACATCCCCACCAGGAGACTCCCTGCACACCCAGCAGGAGACTCCCTGCACACCCAGCAGGAGACTCCCTGCACACCCAGCAGGAGACTCCCTGCACAACATCCCTAGCAGGAGACTCCCTGCACAGCGTTCTACGGCTGACTCGGGAGATTTGTCTGCGGGTTTGCTTGGTGATAGAGCTGTAAAGCGGCAGCAGTTTAACACGGAGGCCCTCACGATCAATAATATCCATAGTAGAGGTGATTTTTGGATTAAATCGCCACCACGCGACTGGAGCTGAACTAGTAACGAATTGTCACGTTATGTGTCCGTGACTAACCTTACTGAGTGGCTGTGTCGGGTGGTGGCGGATTTAACGACACACACGCGATCTAACCCAAAAAAAACCTCGATTGTGTAAACAGCCAGCTAGCTGCTGCTACATTTTCTCAAATCAATTTGACCCTGAGAGAGACGAGGAGCAGCAGCGCAGTGCTCGGGGAACTGGTGCTGCTGCTGCTCGTTTTGGCGTTATTGCTCGTGCACCCGGGCCCCCCATCGACTTGTAAGCAGCTGCCCCCCATCGACTTGTAAGCAGCTGCCCCCCATCGACTTGTAAGCAGCTGCCCCCCATCGACTTGTAAGCAGCTGCCCCCCATCGACTTGTAAGCAGCTGCCCCCCATCGACTTGTAAGCAGCTGCCCCCCATCGACTTGTAAGCAGCTGCCCCCCATCGACTTGTAAGCAGCTGCCCCCCATCGACTTGTAAGCAGCTGCCCCCCATCGACTTGTAAGCAGCTGCCCCCCATCGACTTGTAAGCAGCTGCCCCCCATAAACTTGTAAGCAGCTGCCCCCATCAACTTGTAAGCAGCTGCCCCCCATCGACTCGTAAGCAGCTGCCCCCCATCGACTTGTAAGCAGCTGCCCCCCATCGACTTGTAAGCAGCTGCCCCCCATCGACTTCTGGACAATGGCCAAAGTCCTTCGCACCCCCGCCCCTAGAGGCCCACACCACGTGCCGGGCCGCGCGTTATCTGACAATATCAAAGTGGGGACTTTGAGCGCGCCTACAATGACGCCGACTCGTTGCTCCGGGGTTCAACCCGCGGTGAGGCGCCCGAAGGTCGACGTCGCGACGGGATCCTCGCACGGCAGCCCGGCCACGTGCGCCACCTGGGGGCCTCGCCAGGGTGGGGGCGGTGTCGCTACCCGGCCGTGGGGGGCCTCGGGCCGTGACGTCGATCGAGCACCCGGAGCGAACAGAGAGGCCCCCCCCCCCCCCCCCCCCCCCCCCCCCCCCCGTAGCGTCTGGCCGTGAACCGGCACCGGTTTTAAACTTGGCTGCCTCTGCTGATGATGAGACACTAAATGTCGAAATCGATCCAGACTCGTGCTTGTATTAAACCAATTGCTGGTGATAGCAGGGAAAACCCTGAATACCAGAAGGCCTTGTGGCTGAGGGATGTGTAAACAAATACCCGTGTGCGTGTGAGCGGACAGACGCTTTGTTTATAGCTCAGGTGGCTATACCTGGTAAAATAGATAAAGGTTTATTTTATTCCGTGATGTACACCACGTGGACAGGGGAGGAGCGGTGGCGCAGTTGTTAACGCGCTGCTGCATGAACCCGGTGACCTCTGCGTTGCATTTCCCGACCCACGGCTAACATCAGTGGCGAGCGATATCTGCAGCAGTCCTGGGGATCGCCCCTCGCCGCCTCCACTTCACCGCCCCGCACTGACCAGCGCGGTGAAGTATGTCCCGACAACCCCTACGACTCGAGTCGTGGCAGCCACGAAGAGGCGCCCTGAGTTTGGGCTGTGTGTGGCGGAGACGCGACTGCGATTACACGGATAGCCCATGGCTGGGTGTGTCTGTGTGTGTCTCTGTGTGTGTCTCTGTGTGGGTCTCTCTCTCTCTGTGTCTGTGTGTGTGTGTCTCTGTGTGTGTCTCTGTGTGTGTCTCTGCGTGTGTGTATCTGTGTGTGTGTCTCTCTCTGTGTGTGTGTCTCTGCGTGTGTGTGTCTCTGCACAGCAGGTTGGCACAGTAGGGGGCACAGGTGGTGCATCAGCCAGTCATCTCAGTCAGTCGACCCGTGGCACCTGGGTCTGCCCCGTGACCTCCTGCCAGCGGGCGTTCGACACTTCACGTGGCCTCACGGTGCACATAGCCTGGCACAAGCG